GCATTTTGACAACTTTGAGTATCTCACTCTCTCATCAGAGGCTGATATACTCTCTTCTAAAAGACTGATGTCTTCTACCGCATTCGTTTTTTTTGCAGTAATGTCTGTCATTAAAATAGACAAAAGCTATGGAGACACTTACGAACGTGAATGCATAATGCACCCTGAACTTCTTTCAGCTCAGAGATGTGATCTTGCATAATTGAGTGTGCATAATTTTTCTACAATTTAATACAATTGTTTTCATAAATTTCCACAACTACTGTAGAATATGTATATTAATAAAAGATGATAGATAGATAGATAGATAGATAGATAGACAGACAGATAGATTTTTCTGTTTGTTGATCTGAATATCAGAGATATTTGCTCAGTTGCTCAGTTATGACAGGTTTATATTTTGTTACTCTTTCCTAAGCAACCTGAATGTGAAAGCACACACTTAAGAATAAGGTCATGCAGTCTTTAGCTCAGCTGTATTACAGTGGTTGTGTTTATGTGTGTGTGTGTGTGTGTGTGTGCGCGCGTTTTTGTGACAAATGAGGACATAAATTTGTATAATGACAAAGGTATGACATAGGTATTACAAGGAGAAGGTGACTTTTCAAGACATTACCCCATGTCCCCACTTTTCAAAACGCTTATAAATCACACAGAATGGAGTGTATTGAAAATCTGAAATAGCACAAAGTTTCCTGTGAGGGGTAGGTTTAGGTGTAGGGTTGGTGTAGGGCAATAGAATATACGGTCTGTACAGTAGAAAAACCATTACGCCTATGGGATGTCCCCACTTTTCACAAAAACAAACCTGTGTGTGTGTGTGTGTGTGTGTACATAGCTGATAAAGCATCAAGAGGATTTTCTGTCCCCACTACAGCGCAAGAGCTCCTACTGTCCACATTCATGCACACAAAAGAACACATTTCACGGTGTCATTCTGCTTTTCTACAAAGGTTCAAGGGTTAGTTCACCAAAAAATGAAAATTCTGTCATTAATTACTCACCCTCATGTCGTTCCACACCCCTAAGACCTTCGTTCCTTTTCAGAACACAAATTAAGATATTTTTGATCAAATCCGATGGCTCAGAGAGGTCTCTATTGACAGCAACGCCACCCAAACTTTCAAGATCCATACTAAAGACGTCGTTAAAACATTCGATGTGACTACAGTGGTTCTACAATAATTTTATGAAGCGACGAGAATACTTTTTGTAGTTATTTTTGCTTTGTTTTTGCGCACAAAAAGTATTCTCGTCACTTCATAAAATTATTGGAGAATGTAGTCAGGTTTAGTAGACGTAGTCACGTCGACTGTTTTAACAACGTCTTTAGTACCTTTATGGATCTTGAGAGTTTGGGTGGCGTTGCTGTCAATGGAGGCCTCTCTGAGCCATCGGATTTGATCAAAAATATCTTAATTTGTGTTCTGAAGATGAACGAAGGTCTTAGGGGTGTGGAACGACATGAGGGTGAGTAATTAATGACAGAATTTTCATTTTTTGGTGAACTAACCCTTTAATTACATTTTTTAACAAATTTAATTACGTATTGTCCTCTGCCAGGCAGATGCAGATCAAGAATCAATTCTTGACCAGAAAGCCTTGCTAAACAGAGATTAAATCAGGTAAAACCATTGATGTAGTGTCCAAAAACACATTTTCAAATTATACACTACAGCTCTGCTCCAAGACCTACTGTAGTAAGCTGCCTGCTGCCTATGCTGTCTGCATAGACAGCTACCTTCTAAGACAGCATCTTAACCAAAATGGAACATTATAAGTTATCCACATTCAAGTTGCAAACACTACTGGAATCAAATAATTCCAATTACCATGTTGCTAAGCTAACTAACCCAAACCATAATAATATGCATAGACTACAAAGCAGATACAAATATTGAGTTAAATGTTTTAGTTTTGGATTAAATGGGTTAAATCTTGAATGCTTTATTGTTCAAGTTTGTAGTTTGACTGTCCCTTAGATTTTGACCAAAAGAATGCATCATAATTATGCAGTCATCAGGTAGGCAGCTCCCTCAGTTTTAGAATAGAGTTTAAATAGGTATAATATAATATAATAGAATAGAATAGAACAGAATAGAATAGAATAGAATAGAATAGAATGTCTTACGACTGCATGCCTATGCTGCCTAAAAATTCTAGAATGCATCTAGAATGCTCACTAGGTTTGGAACAGACTTAATAAATGTAATGTAATATAGAATAGAATAGAATGTCTATTTGTCTTATGGATGTATGTAAATAAAAATGGCTGCCTAAAAATGCTGCCTAGGTTGTGGAAAATAACTTATGTAATACAATTTGTAATGTAATAAAGTATAGAATAGAATAGAATATCTATTTGTCTTACGACTGTATTTCTATGCTGCCTAAAATGCTGTCTAGGGAGGCAGCTTACAAGGTTTTAGAGCTGAACTTATACATGTAATGTAATATAGAATAGAATAGAATAGAATATTTACCACATTATTGGGGCCAGTTTAATGACAGTTTAATAACACAAAGTCACTGTAGAAGCAGCAGAATTTTAAATTAAAGTGAAGATCTCCCTGAAGTAACCTGAGGTTAAGTTTCTTGCTGAATGACAACAGCTCAAAGACCAGACCTTTCAGGGTTTGAACCTACAACGTTTCAGTTACCAGCCCAGGTTATTAACCCCTGGGTTACGTCCCTGTATGAATGGACACTTCATCAATGGTGCTGCTAGAGGCAAATGATCCATCATCAGTCTCTTTCTCCCAGGGGAACCAGAGGCACACCTGGATGGGCTGTAGGGCTTATGATTAACAGACGTGACTAGACTCCTCTTTGCTTGTGCATCGAGCAAATGAGGAGCTCGATTGGCCCATCAGTGTGCCGAAGCCCTCGTCAGCTCTGATGGAAGCCCACTTCAGTGATCGTGAGTACTGTGTGATGATTTAGCTACCACTAATACAGACTGCTGTGTCATGCATGCAGCGTTTTGATGCCATGTAGCGCAACAGGTTTTCTAACCCACATTTAGCGGAATTCAGATTTCATTTACATTTGCATACATAGCTTAGCCGCAGGCTCTATTTTGCGATAATGACTGGCTGGTTGTAGATTAGCACTATTTTGAAGTTTTTTGCAGAAGAGACTTAATCTAAAATGACAATTAAAAGGCATGAAATAATACACATGACTTATTCACCACCAGTGAAAGACAAACTGCACTTAGTAGCTATAAAGCACAGTTTGAAATTAAAAAATGAAATAAATTTTTAGGAAAGTGCACTGTACACGTCATGTGCCCAACTGGGAGACAGTGAGGGAGAATGTGCACAGTTGTGTCTCGTTCTAATCCTGCGGGCGCTCAGCATGCAAGCACCACGGCCCGAAAGAGGGCCAGCGCAGATAAACGAGGGATTGTGGTCGACTGAAAAGAGGACAGACATGACTCTGATAGGATGCACTGAGCACTCTGACGGGGACGAAAAAGGGCCCATTCACACTCTTACAGAATAATAAGTCACAAACAGAGAGCAGGAAACCAACAGAGAGAAAGAGACTTTGCAGAAAAGAAACAACATCATATAAAGTGGCCTCAAACAGATAACCTAAGCCACAGTTACAAACATATGAATTTCATGTGCATTAGATACAAAATATCCATCCAAAATAACCAAGTGGCATCTGTAAACAAATGATGCTGGAGCTCAGAACTCATTTGACTATTCTGAGGCATTTTATCTGGTCCTAGTTGTTATCACCTATTCAATAACCACCTGTAATCCAGTGTAATCAGGCTCTATCTGCAATTATATAGCACTATATTGAGCCTAATTTGCACAGGTCAGCACTATTCTCAAAATTAAATGTGCCAGTATTACCACACATAGAAAGCAGGCGGTAAACAGAATTGAGTTCTTAAAAAAAAAGATATTTATGAACATTTTATAGCAATCCTGCCAGCAGTAATTAATCAAATGCAGATGAAATGGATATGGACAATTGTGTCGTGCAAACTGTATTCAGCAGTTTTTCAGTGGATATTTGTGCTGTTACATCATTTGTAACATGATATATCCGTATCATTTCTTTTACGTGCATGAATTGTGGCATATCAATGTTAGTGAATTACCTTCTATACACTGAAAAAATTTGTGTAGAACTTCGAATTTTCAATTAGAAACTGCTAGCAAATTTCACAAATAATTACAAAGAAACTGCAAGTAACATGTTGAATTAAACGTGACGTTTTGGAGTAGAAAAAATATATTTTTACATTTTGTAATTAAGAATTATAAATTACAGTTAATATTAATATAATTATATAATACTGAAATATTTTTTTCTTGTAAAATATACTCCGATAATCTGTTTTATTTACAACTTTACAGTGTATGTTTTGTAATGTATAATTAATTTACATTTATAATAATAATAATAATAATATTATAAATAATAAATAATAATATAATTATAATAATTAATGAATATAATTTATAATTAATATTAATTTATTACCTAAATAAAAAATGTAAATAAATATTTTGCTTAGTATGCTTCTGAAATTATTATTTTTTGATAAATACCACTTGGTTTGATAATGCAATTACTTTTAAGCTTTTAAGCATGCCTTTTTAATTGTCCAGACACGTTTTGGAACACTACAGCTTGATCTTACTATACTGTAACTGATGATAATAAAAAAAAACTCAGGTTTGAAGAAAGAGTGAAAATGAGGTCGGCCTGGGACAATTGCATATCAAAGCATGAAGAAAATCTGCCCGTCGGGCATGTGCATATTTATAATAGCCGGATAATTAAGATGAAGAATGCTTAGTATCTTAGCGTAGATTTAAGACAGTACTGCTCTTGTGTGCGACTCCCACACACAGATGCTGCGATAGTTACAGCCAGATTATGTTTTATCTAAAAGAGCACCATTAACCTTGAGAGCAGAACAACATAATAGACTCTGTGTTGCATGTGTGTTCCTGTATGTGTGTGTGCACCTGGGGGCGGATGACTCTCTCGATGTTCCTCAGGGCTGTATCAGGTGAAGGAGGGGAGCAGTCAGGAGTCAGGCCTGTAAAGTCGTCACCATGGTTACCTCGCTCTGCATCACTGACCGACACATGTGAGAAGTGGCCTTCAGAGAGACAAAGTACAGAGAGATTGAGATAGACTGAAATTAAAACCACATGATTCATACATTAAAAACAATAAGCCTGAAGTGAGTTCTAGGACAGAATTGGGCAGATAAATGTCTTCCCGTCATTGATTCTAAAGTCATTAGCAAGAAGTACTACTTATGGGAAGCAAAAGGGCTTATGGAAAGAAACTAAACGATGCAGAAATTCAATGAAAGCATATCTAGCAATAGTTGGAAAAGACTCTGAAGGAGCCCTGTGTGTTTTCAATGCTAATGAAATGGTTGAACACTGAGCATCTAATTCAGAGCCTTTGCACCATTACCACCATTAACACTCTGAAAGCCAGTGTGTGATACACACATAATTGAATCACCTCATTGCTTTTTTTAAATTGTGTTTTTGTTTTTAGCATATTTTGCTGCAATATTCTGAGTTATATTTACAAGTTTTTGTCAATATGTCAGCTTTTGTCAGTGTCACTTACCACAGCAAATAATTTCAACTCATCCCTTAGTTTGTAAAAACAAACAAAAAAGTATGTTGCTCTTCAACAAAATCAGACACTAATAAACTCCAACCAACACCAACAAATACCATCAAACTCCAGCAAACACCAACAAACTCCATCAGATACCAATAAACTCCAACCAACAGCAACAAACTCCATCAGATACCAATAAATTCCACCCATTATATATATAAGGAGAGATACATATACATATAAGGAGAGACTCCTTATATGTGTATCAGAGAGCTGTCAAGGCCGCCAAGTCCAAATATCTATCTGAGTTTATTGGTGACAACTTACACAGACCTAAGACCCTCTTCTCTGTTATTGATTCTGTGCTCAGTCCCCCTGTCAACATTTTTCCTGATGCTTCCATATCATTGTGTGAACAATTCTGTAAATTTTTTAATGAGAAAATCGTTCAATTAAGATCTAACCTGCCCATGGGGAACTCTGTTCAACCTGAGAGATCAAGCGGTCTGATACTGTGGAGCAATTTTCAGCCTGTTTCTTTTGAATCCTGTAAAGGCATTGTTGAACGTCTGAGATCAATTTCATCTTCTCAAGATATCATTCTATCTAGATTTCTAAAACAGATTTTCAATACCGTTGGACATGATCTTTTAACTATTTTTAATACTAGTCTAATTACTGGGGTTGTTCCTGACTGCCTAAAAACAGCTACAGTAACTCCATTATTAAAGAGGCCCAATCTTGATTCTCGAATTTGAATAATTTTAGGCCTATATCAAACTTGCCGTTTCTTTCTAAGATTCTTGAGAAAATTGTGTTGACCCAGCTGCAGTCCCATTTGATGTCAAATAATATTTTTGAAAAATTCCAATCGGGTTTTAAGTCTCAACACAGCACGGAAACTGCACTTTTAAAAGTTTAAAATTATATTTTACTAGAAACAGATAAAGGGAATGCTGTGGCTTTGGTGCTTTTAGACTTAAGCTATCCAAAATGCTGCAGCAAGATTGCTGACAGGCAGACAGAGGTTCGATCATATCTCGCAGATTCTTATTTCATAAGAATTTAGAATTACTTTTACAATTTTTACTTTTGTTTTTAAATCTCTGCATAATCAAGCCCCTTTTATAAAGAAAGAAAGAAAGAAAGAAAGAAAGAAAGAACCCAACATCAACAAATACCATCAAACTCCATCAGATACCAATAAACTCCAACCAACACCAACAAACTCCATCAGATACCAATAAACTCCAACTAACACCAACAAATACCATCAAACTCCAGCAAACACCAACAAACTCCATCAGATACCAATAAACTCCAACCAACAGCAACAAACTCCATCAGTTACCAATAAACTCCAACCAACACCAACAAACTCCATCAGATAGCAATAAACTCCAACCAAGACCAAAAAATGTCAACAAACTCCATCAGATAGCAATAAATTCCAACAAACTCCAACCAACACCAACAAACTCCATCAGATTGCAATAAATTCCAACCAACAGCAACAAACTCCATCAGATACCAATAAATTCCACCCAACATCAACAAATCGCAACAAACTCCATCAGATACCAATAAACTCCAACTAACACCAAAAAATACAAACTCCAATGACACAAACTCCAACAAACTCTAACAAGCTGCATTAAACACCAACGAACTCCAACCAACACAAACAAACACCAACAAACTCAGTCAAACTGGTAAATATTGATTACAATATTTGGTTTATTGTGTAATAGATTCAAGATCTTGTTTTACTGGTGACAGATGTCAAAACCAAAAAGCACCATACTGTTATCATTTTTGGAGATGTACCAGTGTAGTTAAATAATATTCTTGAATTCCTTTACAAATTCCATGATGAATATGGCAATCATTCAGTAGCGTATAAATCAAAACTCAATGGTTTTAACATCTGACACCATTACTGTACCATGGTACCACAATTGTACTTTTTAAGGGAAGCTTCACTTGTACAGAGTCATTGTACAAACTTCTGTTGTATTGTTCTCAATCCTGTGAGAAAAAAAGCCTAACAATAAACGTAAAAACAATTGTGTATTAACAATATAAGTAATACTGTAAGATCTGATCCATTAGATCAGTACAACACGCTGTGTGTGTTTGTATATGTGTGTTTTGGTTTCAAGACACGTAATCTGAAAATAGCACGTGTACTGTATATACATTCACACACACACACTGCAGAGTAGGAGTGGGATCGCATTATCGTCTGAGCAGGTTTCCCTTGAGTGGGATCACTCTCTGTGAATGAGGGATGAAACAGAGGAAAAGAGAAAGAAAGAGAGCAGAACGAGGTGAAGGGTGGGTTACATCTGAATCCTCCACCAAATTACTGAGAAAAACCCTTCCCATCAATCACACACAGCTCATACTGTTGAGAGCCATGCTGCTCAGAAACAGTAACAGCATCCCTTTAGGTCCAATCTCTCTTTATCCAGTCCAGCATGAAGGAATGCGGAAAACAGTATGGCATGATTATGTTAGCTCTAAACGAGTGACTACCAAGTGAGTTAATAAGCCCTACGGCATCCATGCGGACAAAATCGGAGACAAATCCAAGCTGCATTTATTTATTCAACACCCTCCTCATCTTCCTTTCCTTCTGTTTTTCAAATCAGTTGACTGCCAACTAAAAAGCAGGAGATGAGCAACAAGATTTGCCATAGCCAAAACACTAGAGACTTAAAGCAAAAAGCATCATTTTCCCCTGTATCCCACAAGAAAAAGTTAACAAGTAGGTAATTAGGCAATAAAACACATCACATCCAAGCATGCACATATATTTACTTAGTTATACATCAGGGACAAAATAGTCCCCAAAAGTGAGGGGGGGGGGATTATATTCATTTAATCACCTTTATCATCAGGGTCATTGCGACCTTGTATAATTTTCTTCTATTGAACACAAAAGGAATATTTCAAATACTCTTTTTCCATGCAATTATGAAAGTGAGCGGGAGCTTTCAAGCTTCAAAAATGATCAAAAAGGACCATAAATATATCATAAAGTAGTTCAGATTATAGATTGCTAAGCCATACTATAGTTTTATGTGATTACAGACTGAAACGTAAGTCATTATTCACTGAACATCTTCCCCTCCCCTCCATAATGACTTGTATTTCTATCCACTTGAAGACTTTATAGTGTACAAGTCATAGGGACCACTTTCATGATTTATTTAGCTGATTTTTTTACCTTTTGGAGCAGATTTTTTTTTTTTTATTATTTATATATTATTATAGTATTTATTCATATTTTTAATTAGCTTTTATTTTTTATATTTATTTTATATTTATATTTTATTTATATCAGACTTCACCTCACTCATATGCAAGTGCTTTAACCGACATATGTCAGTCTTATACTCTTGACACTGAAATTGTATGATAAATGATATTCTGTATTCATGGTGAACGCCGAGCAGACTAATGAATTACAGAAATACAATTAATTCAGTTGGGTCCACATGGACACACACTTCTATACACGGCTCGTTTCTTCCCCTCACACACCAGTGTCATGAATACTGACAAGCTCCGCTCCTCTAGCATGTAAATGATGGCAGAATATTCATGAACTACTAAACTAAGCGGCGTTAATAATTGAAACAAAATGACTCGATTGTCGCTTGCACACGCCTTTATATTTGTACTTTCTTAATTGACGCCTGTCAGAGTCCCATTTAAAACAATGTTTGCGGTGGATCAAAACACTCGTCCTTGCTGGGGGAATCGTACGAGTGCATGTGAGAAAGGGAGATCCTAACGGAGCTGGTGGGAAAGAGTGTGACTGTCAAAAATGCTCGCAGCTGTTTTTGTGATAACAGCGGGCGGCTCTGTGACTGCGGTAGGAAGCTCAGTGGGGCTTGACCCTGTTGGTAATGGGCAGGAAGCCGGGGATGAACTCGACTTGTGTTTTACTCTTTCAGCCATTAGACATTAACCTCTCTTATCTGCGACACTGAGGGAGAAATGAGGCATGTAGGAGCCATGGGAACACCGAGACTCTTCCGACACAAATGCTAAAAGATTAGCAGGCCATTACTCCAACTGCACAGAAATATGGACATCCAAACATATTATTATGTGCAGTTTTGGTGGCACAACTACCAAATTTAATGATGCAACTGCCAGAGATGCTTGTACTATATTGTACATTTTAGATTGACTGATGGATTTACTGAACGAAACCCTGCCTGGAACGCTTGGTACTTCCAGTGAATATAAAATTAAATTAAATAAATGATGTATTTATGTTAAATAAAGTAACTTTACTTAAAGTAAGTAAAGTTGAATTTGCAGAATTTATTTATGCCCTTCATTCACCCCACCACATTTCTGATTAAAATTAAATTAATTTAATTTAATTAAAATAAAAAATTATGGTGAATTAAATATTATGATATATATATATATATATATATATATATATATACACACACACACACACACATTTTTTTATTTTTCACTCACACAGCCACATCAAAGTACTGAAACAAAAATTATTTTTTTTATATTGTATTTATGCCGACTTTGTCTTCTTTCAAACCACCATCACCACCAACTATTTTTTACATATTTGGACAAACACTTAAAAGAAAAACACATCATATGATTTGCTGAGGTATGTTAATGTTGGATAAGATTGAACTGGAGACAGCTGAACTACTGTAATCTGAGGCCACATGGGGGAAAAAAGGCTCATCACATGTGACCGTAATTGAACATGACTTGTTCATTTAAGTAAAAAAAAATTATAATAATTTAAAAAAAAGGAAAAGGAAGAAAAGGAGGGGACTGACCGAAGATAGGGACATAGAAGATATAAACAGGAAAAGACACACCAAAGCAGCTGTAACAGGACTTATGCTTGATTCTTTCCACCTAAATCCTATTTTTGACAAGCCGTCACTTAATAAATCCTCAGCAAATCCCACACAGTCAGTCTGATCATGAAACATAACACAATACTACTGCAAAAAAATGGCTGGAAATGGTTACCTAGATGACACCTAAAGGACAACAGCCAGTTAACAGAATACTCAGCTAACTAGTGTCCTTCCTTGTTGCCTGTTGAGCTTAAAAGTTATCTTTCATCATCATGCTCGATGATCTTTTCATTTTAAACCCATATTGCTTTAGACTTCAGCTTGTGAGCAGCTCTTACCAAACATTTCACAACCGCTTTGTTGGTTGCAAGTCAAAAACTTGATTTAAAGTTAACATGAATTAAAAATGTACTCTAAAAATTTGTCCTTGAATACCTTGAATTAATTTAACCCAACACAGTGATTATCCCGTTATAACGGTGATGTGCAAGCATCTCTATTTATCCTCAGATATACCGGTGTGAGTGTTTTGATTGGTCCTGTGCTTTACTGCAGCACGAAACTGCAGTGTTGACTATAATCAGGCAGAGAAAAGAGTCCTGCAAGCTGTGATTTCATGCTTGTGGAGATACCGAGAGGCCAAAAATAGAGCTGGTCAAAATCCACAAATGTTCACGCAAACATCCGCACGAGCACAAACAGAGGGGTAAAGTACAGTAACACAGGAAATAGTTTCAGTAAAACACACACTCTTGCTCATACACATACACACACACAGATGAAGTGAAGTCTTGCCGGACAGTGCCGCTGCATTAATAGAGTGGTCTGAGAGATAAACAGTGACTGCGGCTGCATCAGGTGTGAATCACTGGCCTACAGGCAATATGGCTCACTGCGTCTCCATGACAACTTGCAGGAGGCTCACCAACCTCTCTGGGTAAGGCTAAAGCTGTTTCCACGACAACCCTAACCCTTACCGCAGGAATGATGCCAGAGGAAAGAACTGCGGCAGAGGCTGTAGCATCCCAGCACTACACTCATCTACTTAAACACTACGACAAGAGGAGGGTGCTATGGGGCCCAATGTTCTGTGTTTGTCAAAATATACAGCATGGACAGCTGTTTTGTAAAGTATTTATAATATGCTATAAAATAATATGCAATAGGATGCTATATAGTTATAATATAATACAGGGGTGTCAAACTCTGTTCCTGGAGGGCCACTGTCCACTGTCCAACCCTAATTAAATCCACCTGAACCAACTAATGAAGGTATTCAGGATTACTAGAAACAGTATATAGTATAATATAATATAACAGATATAGTATAATATAACATAATATAACATAAAATAACGTAACATAACAATACAAAAAGAAATGGTTTGTGAAGCATTTATAGATATTTAGACAATAATAATTATTATTATTATTATGATTGTATCCACTGTAAAATTAGTGGATTAAGTTAAAAAATGATTCATAAATATTTATACATTATTGTTATTATAAGTATAATATAAATTATTATTATTATAATTAGCAGTAGTAATAGAAGTATTAAATAACAGATACATATTAATGAATGTTTCACAATCCAATCAATTCCCAAAGGATTCAATAAAGTTCTGCCCTTTTTTCCTTATTGAATATTTTGTTTGGCATGGAAATATATCATATTATTGATGAAAAATGTATTGCTAATGACGTTTTATATTTATTGAATGGTGCTGAATTTACAGAGGTGCATGAAGCATTTTTCTGACAGGTATGAATGCAGCTTTAGTGTTGAGATTTTTTACATCAGCTACATTTTTTTTTTTCATTTTAGTTTTATTTAGTTTTCATATATTTTTATTTCGTTTTTATTGATTTGATTAGTTTTCATTGATTTGAAGCTACTAACCGCTGCGAGGACAGGCGTTGTGGCGGTGGATGTCCAGAGAGCACGGTTTGCGTGTGACGGCTGTAGCCACTGACTCATAAGGGTTGTCCTCATCTTCTGGTAAAAACACATCCAGTGATGGAGAATGGGCAATTTCAGCACATCGCTTGTCCTGCACACAAACAACATAACACAAGTGTCTTTAGACATACAGATAGACAAAAAATGACAGACAGACAGACAGACAGATAGATAG